GGTCAACTTTCTGTGATGTTACTTTAAAATACGTCTGAATTATACTGGGGAGTATCAGTTGTCAAGTTAGACTAGTTTCTGTACATGTATTAACCGAGGTGACGTTTTCATCAATTCGATACTTAGGGATGGGTTGTGAAAAGTCACTCGGGCGTAGTTGGTCGTTTAGATATTGCGTGCTATGAGAGATACTAGTATGATAATCTAGAGTATTACTGTAGGTATTAGGTGTGAATAAGGCGTTTGTTATTTGCCGGGGAAGAAGCAGTTTCCTTGTTGTAAGGTGTTCGCTATACCAGCAAGGAATTGGTCTGGAAAACATCTTCAGTGCAATTTTCAGCATATAGTGAACTGATTTAAATTTTCTATGAGTGATAGAATTGCTCCTCCCGTAAGTATTGAGTTACTACTGTCCAGTCATTCCCATAAAATAGCCACATGAAATAAATGTCATCATCTGGAATATTGTTTCTTTAGGTTTCATTTGGATCTGATTACTTATTTCAGGTCCTCACTGATCGGTATTCACAAATTTCCTTAAGAAACAGTCTGTTTGCAACACGTATTCAGCTATTTCTTCATCTTGAGATTAAATAGCGTCGTTATGGCCACTGCACAAATGACTTCATAGGGCAGATAGTTTTGCCAATTACTACATCACACTTATTCTTGCCTTACTGAATATAATGATCCTACTGTCACTACCTGACTTGTACTCACTGATAACCAGACAAAAATCAAAACACTCAGTTATTTAGCAGAATGCTCCACTGAGCAATATGTTTAAGCAGAATAAAAATGCTAAGGTCATTAGGAGGGAAGATTTTTAGGAATTATCTGGCAAGTATGGCTGAGCTACGGACTCCGAGAAACGCGCGTGTTGCCAGCACAGAGTGGAAGAGCCAAGACGAAAATACCCAGGCAAGAAAAGATGGCGCGGCGCCATCGTACGTGTATGCGTTGAAATAAAAACTGCAAACATTTAAGGTGCACTACAACTTTTTGAAAAGAGGGGCTAGCAATCTTCAGCCGATTCCAAAACAAAACTGAACTGTTCCAAATAGAATAATATTGACAACAAACTTTTGAAGAACTGCAAGATTATTGTCCTGCTAAACATATTGTTAGATAAACACGGTACAAATCATTAAGTATGAGGTTGTTCCTTACCAAATACAAAAAACAGAGTGGCTGGACACAAAATGACTCTTGGTCCACAAAGAGGTACATTCAAACAAGAAATGTACAACAGTCTCATTGATCACAAACTGTCTAATTTACGCAAGATGTAAAGTGGTATATAGAGTGAAACTTCAGTGACTGAGAGTGTATTATCAGACGCAACAAGCACCATTCTGGACATGTGGGTTAAGTTAGCAGTGCCTTGCTCACCTCAGCAATGAGGAGTCCAGGCTAATCTACACACTTTTCCGAGTTATTGACTCTTACCAAAATTCATTTACTCACTTCTCTGTCAGAACAGACACTTTGAGAAAGAGATGTTATGAAAATTGTCTCAGTATAGGTGATTACAAAGCATTTTTAATACCGATTGTTGTCCCCTTTGTCAAGTGAAAATATTCTCCAGATGCTCCCGGAGACTCGAGACTCTCAGGTATTAGGGGGGAGATGCCTTATTTGCCTTTCAGGTCTGGGTAACTGAACATCATACATCTGGCAAAATCTAATATTCTGAGATTCAGGGAATTGGGTTGATAGTGAAATCGTGAAATCTCTATTCACTAATTCCTCAGATTTGTGCATTTCCAAGTACTTTATGGACAGACTTAAACGAAAAGAAGTTTTGTCCCAGCCAGAAACAAGACGTAAAAATGGTGAGACTAACCTTAAACTGGTGGGTTTTCAAATAGTCAGGTCTTGGAAACGTATGCTTCCAAGACCTGTGTGGATAAGCCAGACCGCATAGGAAGCCTGAAGGTAGTGTAAACTAATATACGTAGTATCGGGAACAAATTTCACGAGCTAGGTGTCTTAGTGGAAGACCTTAGCCCAGGGATTGTGGCCGTTACTGAAACATGGCTGGTTTCTAGATTAGATGACACACCTGAGCTATGCGGATTTAGTTGCTTGCGCAGCGACAGGGTTAAGGGTCGTAAAGGTGGCGGGGTTGCTCTGTACATCAACAACTCCCTACATGTTCGTTCCGTGAAATCTGAAGCGCATGACAGTGGGACAAGTGAGGTAATTAGCTGTGAAGTAAGCTTTGCAACTGGCACTCTACTCATTGGGGTTCTGTATAGAAGTCCCTATTGTCAGTGTGATGACTTTATTTTAGATCACCTCAAACAATGGAGTAAGCACAGTAGCTGTCTTATTCTAGGTGACTTTAATGCACCTCATATAGACTGGGTAGCTGTCACATCTCCAGGATCCGCTAATAAGTTTGACAGCCGGTTACTCTTGACTACCATGGAAAATGCCCTGACACAACATGTCTTAGGTAATACAAGATTCGGTTCTACCCAAGGATCTTCCTTACTGGACTTAGTGATTACTCATGACAACGACGACGTGGATGGTCTAGTTATTCATCCACCTCTAGCAAATAGTGATCATAGGGTGTTAGATTTTAACTTAAGGGCTGGCAATTCAGTCAGTTTTCAACCCAAATCCCGACCTAGTGTTTGGCATGCTGACATAGTCGCTATAAAGGAGCGTGCTTCAACTGCCGACTGTTCAGTCAATATGGTCTCATCCATTGAAGATGAATGGGATAGATTTAAGAATACACTTGAGAGGGTTACCACTGATTTCATTCCCTGGAGGGTTCCTAAAAGGCCAACAAATCGGCCACCATGGATAAATAGACAAGCTATAACACTCCTAAGACGGAGAAAAAGGTTCTGGAATCTCTTTGTTTCTATTGGGCTACAGCAGTTCCGGCTGAAATACTATGAAAACAGAAACCAGTGTAAAACTTTGATTCACCAGTCAAGGATAGCTTACGAAACCCAGTTAGTTAAAAGTTCACCAGGCTGCCCAAAAAGACTCTTCTCATATATCAAGAGAAGAACACGTAAGAGTGATGCTATCCCACCTTTTATGCTTGAAGATGACCAGACAAACATGGCTGAGGATAACTTGACTAAGGCTGAGGCTTTGTCCAAGCACTTTAGTCAGGTATTCTCTGATAATATTGATACCAACTTTGTAACTTTTCCAGAAGGTAACTTGAAAATGGCACCCTTATACATTGGAAAGGATACTGTCCTAAAGTGGCTTCTAAGGCTCAATCCTAGTAAGTCCAGTGGCCCTGATGAACTCCACCCACGTATATTAACAGCATTGGCTGAAAACATAGCCGAGCCATTGTCGGTAATCTTCAATATGTCTCTGGACCAGTCTAAATGTCCAAGAGACTGGAAAGATGCCATCATTAGTCCGGTCTTCAAAACCGGATCTAGAAACTTAGTTCAGAACTATCGTCCTGTTAGTTTGACCAGTATTGTTGTTAAACTACTAGAAAGAATAATTCGTGATGCTATCATTCAGTTCATTGAAGGGAACAAACTTTTCACTGTGGAACAGCATGGTTTTAGAGCAGGTCATTCTTGCTTGACGAACCTTCTTTTGGCCAGAGAAAGTTGGGCAAGCTCAGCTGATGCTAATATACCGGTGGATGCCATATTCATCGACCTTAGCAAGGCGTTTGACAGGGTTTCTCATTCAGGTCTTCTAGTAAAGTTAGGTAGTCTGGGAATCAATAAAGTGGTTGCCGACTGGATTCAAGACTTTCTAAAGGACAGAAGACAAAGAGTACGAGTTAACGGGGTTTTATCAACATGGGAATCGGTTAAGAGTGGCGTTCCTCAGGGTACAATTCTAGGCCCACTTCTTTTCCTGATTTATGTTAATGAGATTCCATCGGTAGTTAAGTCATCCTGCTTACTGTTTGCTGATGACATCAAGATATGGAGGGCTTTACACGATGACAGTGATCAACTTGCTTTGCAGGAAGATTTAAACTTGTTAAGTGATTGGTGTAAGCACTGGGCCTTGGAGATTAACTTAAGCAAGAGTGTAGTTATGCATGTATCTCATAGTCACGTGCACAATTACTCAATGAATGGCGTTACTCTCCCAGTGGTCACTGAGTACAAGGACTTGGGAGTGGTTGTGCAGCATGACTTGAAAACAGTAACAAACTGTAGAGCTGCAGCCACTAAGGGTTTTCGAATATTATGGGCCATACGCAAGGCTTTTGCGAACTTTGACGCTGATATATTTCGTATATTATATCCGACTTATATCAGACCTCATTTGGAATATGGGATCCAGGCAGCGAGCCCGTGTTTCAAATACGAAATAGACTTATTAGAAAGGGTGCAAAGAGTAGGAACTAAGCTAATAAAGGGTTTCTCAACCCTCTCATATGAGGAGAGGTTAAGTCGACTGGGTTTATTTCCACTGTCATACAGACGACTTAGGGGTGACCTAATACTAGCATACCGTATCCTAAGAAATGATTTTGGAGCAAATTTATCTAATTTATTTCTTCCTTCTAGCACCAACCAATTGCGAGGACATCACCTCAAGGTTCAAAAACCACGGTCGAATCGTCTGCGTCTGGAGATCCGTTTTTCGCATCGAATTGTGAACCAATGGAACTCCCTACCGGAACACTTCGTATCAGCGCCATCCGTTGATTCGTTCAAGGCGAGATTGGACATCCTGTGTGCAACAAATCGAAAGGAATAACACAGGCATATAGCCTACTATCCTAAATAAATTGTAAACTGTAAACTGCATGTTAGCTGTATACAGAAAGTTTTGTTCTTAGTAATGAAAAATCAGTCGAAATAAATTTTATTAGATTTTTCCTTCGGATAGATATATATACATGTCCTCATGGTTCATAAAAATCTTCACCCAACCTCACACCACATCTTTTCTTTTAATCGTCTCAGTTGTGTAATGACCCTAATTAGCGGGATTCTCTGAGATTCAAACGTGTTTCTGTCATCTGCATTTCCCTATTTATGACTTCGGAATTAGACATAGATGAGTTTATCAACAGACTTCTGGAAGGTAATTTTTCAATTGGATTTGCATTTATAGTTCAGTCCGGACGTCTAGGCCTGGAACTACGGTTAACATGAAGGAAGAGGAAGTCCGGTATCTCTGCGTTACTTCCAGACAAATATTCTTATCACAACCCATTTTGCTGGAACTTCAGGCTCCTTTAAAAATTTGTGGTTAGTCAATTGTGTCAATACCTATGTTTTTTCATTAAGATGTCTCATCTGTTAAATGTATGTTAATGTTAGAATATCTAGTTATGTTAAGTAGTTATCCTCTAAGTACTTAAATACCTTAGCGAAACACTTTAAGTTTTGATGATTCTGGAACTACCATTTATTTTTATAATGTTTCCGGAATATTCATGATAGGAAAACAGTGCTGTAGATGTGAATTATATTGAATTTTGTTGTACCGTCGATGGTGCTTTGAGGGAGTGTAGTAGATGTTAGGTTTTTGGCTATCACTTCCAAGACCGCACGTTCCCTGTGGGTTTCTGTGACTACATTTCTTTGCTTGTCCTGAAAACAGACAAAAGGCGTGTTCTTTTCCGGGTCTAGCAAAGCCAAGTGTACGCTTCCCTTATAATTTTCCTTATTAAGAATAGATTAACTAACAGCTTAACATGCGAAACGCTAGGGATTTTACGTTTTCCCCATGACTATATGTGGTTCGAATTCTGCTCCACTTATTTTAACTTTTCCATCAACCCTTGCGCAACCTGGTTATCTAGATTCCAGATAAATGCACACTTAAGGCCGAACTACAGGGTTGTCTCGGTAAACAGCTTGCATATTTAGTATTTGACGTTCATTCTGAAATATGCGCAGCTATTCTTAACCGGTTTAAGCTTATTGTTACCAACCACCGGGTCGTTCTGAACCTCGCCTCCCCTACCGAAGTCTTCAACCCAGGTAGTAACACTTGACCTCAATAGATTGTGAAGATGTATCTCGTGGGCTAAGGTGGCAAACTTCTGTTTTTAGCCTCCTTTCATCTCCTAAAGTTTGAACGGCCAGGTAGTATCATTAACACAACAAAGATGTCTCATCGACAACAATATTTAAGTGTCAGTAAAAAGTTTGAGCATTTTGGATTAGATCAAATAAAGTATAATTATATTTCAATAGTTTACACACAATGATAAGTTCTGTTGGTAATATTTCGAGCAATATTACTACCCGTGCTCACACCACTGTTGGAATTGTTTTGTTCCCGAAATGTTACCAATAACAAAACTTATCATTGTATAAACTATTGAAATATAATTATACTTTAATTAATATTTAAGTGCATTTAGTCTCTGGGTATCATTATTTTATTATTTTTTGGGTTTCGAGTGGAACATAGGGCTTCAACAACACATCTCCACTTTCTTCTATTTTCTGCTGTCCTCTTCATCTGGGTTCATGATCACCCATAATCTCTCCTCACACGATCTCCTCCATGTCAACCTAGGACTGACGACCCACTTGTCACTTCCGATTGGGATTCCACTCGGGGGACGGCCTTCATTGCGGGCGATTTCATTCGACGGTCTCCTCAATCCCCAATCCATCTCCATTTTCTCCTATATATGTTAGTTTGTTCCTACAGTTTCTTGTTGCTAATTCTTTCTGGCCAGTCGGCCATTTGATTTGCAGTATGGAGCACGTGAAGGCAGCTGTTGATAAAAGTCTGTGACTTGTTGGAAATACTTTTTGTGACACGTGGTGCAAGTTTCTGACCCGTATAGAAGGACCAACTTTACATTGGTGTTCCTTATGCGGAGTGCAGATCTCCAAACTGGTTCCACGTTGATGAAGGCGTATCTTTCCTTTCCTATTCTGGGTGACTTTGACATCTTTATCCGTTCTGCCTGCGTGTGGTTGAAACGGTGCTTCCTAGATAAGTGAAAAAAGTAACCTCTGAAAAACCTCCCCCATTGATTGTGATTGGTGCTGGATGTTGTTGTTGTTGCGGTTCGTTGGTTATCTTCATCACCGTCTTCTCTATGTTCACCGGCAGTCCTGTCTTCGCTGCCAGTCAGCCTCTTCAGCCAGTTTGTTGGTTTTCGCCTGTAAGTCTTCGGGTTTGTGTGACATTAAACATAAATCATCCACGCGCAAAATCCCGATCTTCTAGTCTTCTTATCGGTGGTACAGCGTATTCCTGACTCCTCGCCCCCAACAGTCTGAGGCATAATTCAGTCTACCACAATTAAGAATATCATCGGTGATAATAAGCAAGCAGCATTGTCTTACTCCTGTATGCACCTCAAACGCCTCGCTGAGTTTCGCGTTGTGGATCACCTAACACGTGACGTCATATTGTCTTCTGTTGAATGAGGCTGATGAAGGTTTGAGCACTACACGTCTTGGTGTTAAAGTAGTTTCCAAATTGCTTCTCAGTCAACGCTGTCTGTTGAAGGCCTTTTCGAATTCGATGAAGTTGAGGTAGAGGTTTGACTGCCATTCTATGTTTTTTTTCGATGACGATGCGTAGGGTTGAAATTGATCAGCACATGATTTACCTTTCCTAAATCCGGCTTGTTCCGGTAGGTGGCGCAGTTCTGCATCCAATGAATCCTTTATTCTCTCCAGGATGACGTGACTTAGTGTTTTACTTGGCGTGAACAAGAGCATTATTCCACGCCACTTCTTGCAGGGGTCTAAGTCTCCCTTCTTGGTAGTTTGATAATGTATCTAGCCTTTCTTCCAAACCTTTTGCAATAATCGCTGGGTATCATGAATGCTACTTTTATGACAAAGTAGTGGATAATTGAAATGAGCCTTCAGGTTACAACCAGTGGGTTGTACATTTGCACCCTGCAGTCAGGTGGCATTATCAACCATCACAAGAGGAATGGCTCATTCTATTCAGAGTAAGCAATTCAAGACTGCCCAGCTCTACAGTTTTAGTGGTGCTCAATTTTTATGTTGTACAGTTGCCACCCCATGAACAAATGAAATGTACCAGGGAGTTTTGAAGAACTTCTGGAGACTCAGTGTTTATAAATGGGATGCTTGTTTAACTTGTCACTGGCTCTGGCCTTGTGGTTATGTTCATCTTAATATTTTTAACAGACCAACATTCATCACTAGATCCAATTTTGTTATTTAGTCACTAAATGCAACATACACAATTGCATCTATGCAATGATGTAGGTTGAATGTAACCTGGTCGTAGCGGAAACGGGTAATTATAGCATTCCAGCACTCATCACTAGTAAAATAGTTGCTATATCGTATATTGGAATCCTAGTGTGGGTGGTAAGAAAAGACAAGTTGAGCAGGACAGTGATGCCCATGATCTGTTCGAAGCTCCCATAAGTAATGACTGACTAACGAGTGTACACAAGATCGTCACTTCAAAACAGCACTAAATCAGGGAGCGGAAAAAGAGGTATTACTATAAAACAAACAATATTTGTGCGGTGAAGACAACAGTGAAATAAAAACAGCCAGGATCTGGAAGGTGACAATGAATACATCTCTGCCGCTGGGAACTTTTTTGGGCCATAACTCGTAGTTTTTAACCACTGTTATCTTCTCGAAGACCTCAGGTAAAAATTCTCCACCTCCCTTCATGCTTCAGATTGGCAGTGGAGGATATCGTGGGTTAATACCGTATTTTGTTCTGACTACCCTACTTTCAGCCAGAATTTCTTGTTGGTGAGTTGGAGTGGCTTGTCTTGCATAGCACATATCTCAGCCACGTCATTTGATGAAGTTTCTTAACGTCACCGATCGGTCCATCGACTCACTTGGCGCCCTGTGCTCAGTCTTGTTACTGATCGTATTGCTCTGTCTGAGACGTGTTGGAATAAAGATACCTACGGTAGAAAACCTGTAATCTTTTTATCTTCCTCCATTGGCTGCATGGTCTGCATATCCCTTGGTGGGTAGCAGGATGTTGGCCTCTAACTAAAGGTGTTCAAGTTCGCAAATGTCAAAAAAGCCTTCTGTATCCGTGTTAGAATTTCGTTAGAATTGGGCTCTGCTGGGCTGACGCAACTTCTCAGGTACATGTGTAACAACAGAAGACAAGGGCCAGGCAACAGATCGTTTATTAAGGAAAATCAACACATATTTATAGATTTTAATGTACATTATTGTAGATTATTGTTAGTAGAAAATACAGTCTTTTGACTGGTTGTTTCTCACAGAAAGTTAACTTTGCATCTCTTTATGACTGTGTCAGATAATCCATGTGCTAACTGTATCCGCCTACGCAAAGCCTTTGTTCTCATTTTTTCACCACCAATATTGGGGACATAAACATTGACGTCAATTACTGTCTACCAACTTTGGCTAGCAGCCAGCTCTCACCACACATGGAGTGGTGAATTCACCAAGCTATTTCACTATTTTTAAACTAAGAATCTATGCAGAACAATCATGTTCATCAACTTACATTTGACAGATACAAAGCACATCCGAAGCATACTCAAGACTCCTTGTTTTGTCAGTATCTTCACATAAAGGAAAATATCACTTGTGCACTCTAGATCAGCAAGACTTTATCTGGTAACAAGTTAATACCTCGAAGATCTAAGTCGGACACTCATCAATCGGTCTACTTATAGTAGATGTGAATATCCCTGATGGACACGCAGTCATCGTCGCTTTAGATGAAAACTCCAAAAGCTTGCAGGATTACTCCAGTGAGGGCGTACTACCTTGGTTAGCGTATTGTACTTTAAAATGCCCTCTATGGTCAAAACACCTTGATCAACGGAGTGAAATGCCGTCTTCAGATCACAAAATATGTCTGTAGGATGCCGGTAAGTATCTGTTTCAGAGACAAGGTCAACGTTGTGGACGTTGGATACTCAAAATGTGCATCCAGTTTCATTGGCTAGTACCACGATATGTGAACTTAAATTAAATTTCTCTGTATTGGGATTCTTTCTATGTTGAACCCTGGCCAAAATTTGTAGCAGTGTAAACAGAGGTGCCAGAAAAGCTGCTTTTGCCAGGAAGCTGAGTAGATTGTTAAGAAACATTTGGGAAGGTGATTGTTCCATTACTCTGGAATAATGCTCATCACGCTGGTGTCAAGTTTGCGTCCAATACATCGGCTTACACATGAGAAACTACTTCAAATAAGGCAGATTGACTGCCGTTCAGACCGTGGATGCTGTAATCATATGTCTGTTTCTCTTCAGTTTCTGGAATCCTCAGTTGTTTCAGAA